TTAACAGGTGCATGAGATCCGATACTGGCTCACATTGCTTCTCTTTTTCAGTCTAACCTTCTCTTAACATTTACACCTCTCATAGCAGTTTGCTCTTTCTTTCGTAGATCAGTGATTTTCAATCTCTTTTTTTCTGCCCCAGCCCACTTGAGAGATTTTTTTCACAATGACAATGGCTCATTGTGACACTGATTCCTACTAATAAAAACATCTTTCTTCATCTTAACAGGCTTCTCATTAAACTCTGGTTTAAATATAATTAAACCAGTTTTTCTTTATTGCTGGAATTTCAGAACCTTTCATGTGAATTGGAACTCTTAATACCTCTTTAAAAATGTACGATATATCCCAAATATAAATGACAAAATTTTATACCTCCTGACAAAACTTTATACTTCACCGCTTTATTCCATATACCATCGTTCTAGCCAGTTTGAAAGATCCTTTCAGGGCGTAATCAATTCTTACATTTGGAAAGTCCTTAAAATAAAGCATAAGATGTTATACAATATGTTTGTTTATTCAGCAGAATTACTTAAAATGTCAAAACACGTACTAGTCCAATTGTCTAAAAAATCAAGGAAGTACACAGATAATCTTCTTATAAGGCAGATTCTATGGCTGCTGTTTCTTTTGAAACTCCACACTATCCAGAGAAATATTACTCAAAAATTACTTTTAAAAATTGATATGCTAAAAAAATGCAAACACCTTTACTTTGGTGTATTCATGCAGTCAATGAACATCCTTTCATTGAACTTTCTGTGATCTAGAGTATACATGGTGCCTAGGAGATTTTAAATCATGGGCTATATTTATCCACTATCAACAAAATAGGAAAATGGGGCTGAACTTAGACTTTTCCTTTCCTCCCTATAATTTCCTCCATTTCTAATTTTGGAGCAATCAAGTTTCAACTAGTTAATCAAATGTCTTTTGTGTGGCAGGTGCCAAGGTGTTTGTTTTCATTAGTGTACCAAATGCCATATTTAGGAACTTGGCCTTTTGGTTAACTGGCTACAAGCATGGCTTTAAACCATTAAATGTGTATATTTAAACTCAGCATTTATTTTTACATCTCCTTATCCAAATAATCAGGATGTGGTTATCTGTAAGATGATACATCATGATTTTTTCCTATGTACACCCAAGCACAAAAATATATACCTCAGACATAATCATCAATATTATAAACACTAATCATCCTGTGCCATTTATAAGATTACAGAGATGAGGAGAAACCTGGTAAGTGAAATGTACATAAAAATAGTTAAAGGAAATCCACATGGAAAGACATATAAAATTGGGCAATTTTCACAGTTGAAACCTATTTTTATGATAAAAAGCAAGAAAGGAAAACATAAACAACTGTAGTTTGTCTTTGATCAAATGGGATAACAATTTCTTTAAAAAAGATATATCAGGCCAGGAATGGTGGCTCATGCCTATAATCCCAGCAATTTGGGAGGCTGAGGTGGGTGGATCACATGAGGTCAGGAGTTTGAGAACAGCCTGGCTATCGTGGTGAAACTTTGTCTCTACTAAAATACAAAAAATTAGCTGGGTGTGGTGGTGGGCGCCTGTAATCCCAGCTACTCAGGAGGCTGAGGCAGGAGAATCACTTGAACCTGGGAGGCAGAGGTTTCAGTGAGCTGAGATTGTGCCATTGCACTTCAGCCTGAGCAATAGAGTGAAACTTCATCACAAAAAAATAAATAAATAAGATACATCAGAGATATGAAATCATTTTAAAAATACAGTTATGTTCTTAGTATATCCTCCTTTATGTAAAGTCAAAGAGACATCAGCAAAATCAGGAGAAGAAGAATACAATTAAGTAGCTGGCTTACTAAAGTAATCACTAATGCAGGTTTGGGTTGGTATTTTCATCAGATAACTATTACGTTCTTATTGGTTATTTTCCCAGTTTAGAGATATAGTTCACTGGGTTGTTTTTTTTCTTTTTATGCTTACGGAAAATCTCAGTTCAGATATCAAGTTAGTGAAGAGAATACAGAGAAAATTTACTGCTCCCTTCTAGAAAAAATGGAATACAGAGAAGTTGCTAGTAACTAGCATTATGAGACAAGATTCTGAAGTAGACTAATTGGTGTCAAAATGAACAACTATTTCAGACATTACATGAAAATCAAAACAATGTTTGATAAATAAATGTTATAGACAGTACTAAAATATTATATCTCCATTTTTTTCTTAACCAACATAGTTAATCCAGATACTATTCTGTTTACATAAAACATTTGTTCACATGCCAGCATGTAACATTTATTATTAAAATCTACGCTGTTTAATAGTAACAAGTTGTTTTTCGTTGTTGTTTTCTTAGGAATGTGGGCAAAAGTTTTATTATTTTTTCTATTTCTTGCATTTGAAATACTGTTTGATGACATCCTAAGCCTAAAATTCTTTGCCGTAGACCTTTACTGCTACACAACTGCAATCAACCACTTGTCAGGGGCTACCCTCTCTGTAAGTTTTACAGAGGCTACCTGTATTAGTCCATTCTCACACTGCTGTAAAGAAATACCTGAGAATGGGTAATTTATAAAGAAAAGAGGTTTAATTGGCTCACAGTTATGCAGGCCATACAGGAAGCATGGCTGGGGAGGCCTCATGAAACTTAAAATTGTGATGGAAAGCAAAGAGGAAGCAGGCACGTCCTCACATGGCCAGAAGAGGAGCAAAAAGAGAGGAGAGGTGCTATGCACTTTTAAACAATCGGATCTCGCAATAACTCACTATCAGGAGAGAACAGCACCAAAGGGAAAATCTGTCCCCATTATCCAGTCGTCTCCCTCCCGGCCCCACCTCCAGTACTGGAGGCAACTCATGGCAGTGGGTTAGCAATGGCACGCACTCGAGCCTCTGCCTCTGCACAAACTCACTGGGGGCAAGGAAAGAGCCACAGTAACAAATTCTTCAAGAAAATGTCAAAAACAATCTTGGGACACACCCAAACAAATGTAGTTATTAAGGAAATATTTATTGATGCCTCATATTCTTTCACATACAGATTATAAATAGTAAATGAGACAGAAGGGGTATGCATGAATGGATTCAATCCTCTGAAAGCTCTTTGGAGATGGGAATTCCTTCTCATTTCACAAAGGAGTATAATGAAGCTTGAGTAGGGTAAATGATACATATTCAAGGTTACACTGATACTAAAGCAAAAACATGACTCAAATCCAATCTTACAGATTCCATTCTAGCACCCACTTTCTCTTGACCCCCAGCAGGTTTCCCAAATGATTTTTTTTAAAAGAAAATAGAGTTTTTTGAGACTTCTTGTTCACAAACGATGCAGTTGGAAGGCTTTCCCACTGCCATGTACTAAGCAGCAAAGCTTGGGTTCATGCCGACTTTGTTCTAGCTCACACTCCACGATCTTCCCTCAGTAGAGCAAGGCCCCATTTTACCTACAGTTTTGTAACTTCCAGTAGTCAAACTAGCAGCAGGTGAGCCTGATGTAGGCCATAGATGAGCTTTAGTTGGCTGGATAGTGGCTTTTTAATCTAAAAAGTCAGACATATATAAATAAAGCATCTTTGTGCTCACTACCCAGAATTAACACGTGTAAGATTTTTACATATTTGCTTTAAATTACATATAGATTAAAAACTGATTCCCTTATGCTTTTTCTATCATTCTACTCACTTTTTCATCTCTGCAGAGGTAATCATAATCATGAATCAAGTTCTATTGGTTTATATTTTATGTGTATATATTCCAAAATATATGGTATTGCTTTGAGCATTTACAATTTCAGTAAATGGTATAATGTCATGTATTGTTTTATACTTTCCGTTTCTCCACAAAACCGTTTTGTGAAATCCATGCATACAGACAAACATACATTTAAGTTATTTGTTTTAACAGTAAATATGTATTTGTTTACTTCAAGTCAGTAGTTGGAATAAATCTCAATTAATAAATCTATTTTCTCTTGAATGGGGCACTGTGTTGATTCCAATTTTTGACTACTATAAACAATAAGGCTATGAACTTTCAGATACATGTCTCCATATAAACACTGACAGCTTCTCAGGAATACACACATACCTAGAAGTGAAATAAATGTGTCCTAGGTAAGAGATAAGCATTTTCAACTTTTTCATAGTGTCCAATTTTCTCCAAATGATTGGATTCATTTTCAACTCCACCAGAATTTTTTGTGATATTGTTTCCCGAAACCATTCTAACATTGCAAGGTTGATCAACTTCTTGGCAATCTAATGTGTGTAAATGGCATTTCACTTAGATTTTTATTTGAATTAAAGAGATTGTATGTATTGTGGAAGGTTTTGTTCATTCACTTCTCTTTTCTATGAAATGTGTATTCATAACTTTGCTCCATTTTTATTTAGTTTGTGTGTCTATCTTTAAAGTTACATTTAAAGGGTTTATTTACATTTTCCAAATGCTAATCTTTCTTTTATGTATATATTGAAAATACCTTCCATTACGATTTTTTATTGTATCTTTATGTAATTTTTCAATTTTGATATAATAACATCTGACAGTTTTTTAATAACAATTTTGAATCTTGCTTATGAAATCCTGACATAACACAAGGACATAAAGAAATTCTCCTAATTGATGGTGGGGGTTTTGAAATTTTGAACTTAAATCTTTTTAGACACTATAGTGTCTCAGGTTCACCACAGACCCAATCAGAACTTATTCTCTAATGCCTTGCCACTGTTACAAATTTCTCCTCAGGTACATATATAATGTCTTAATTTCTAGATTTGAGAGTAAAAATATAAAGTTACATTAGCTGTATTTCTCAGATTGTGGGTTAGTTTGAATTAAATTATTGTTACAGCTGTACAACCCTAATCCAGGGTCTCCATGGAAAAGAAACCTTGACAGAATTCGTTCTGGGGGATGGACAGCTTCTATTACATATTATTTACGTTTTGTAGAGATGCACTCCAATGGACCGAAGCTAAATAATTTGGCTTACCATTTGCCTCTAACAGTCCTTTTAGGAGCTTTTGTTTTTTATCTTTACATTCCAAATGAATCAATGCTAACTATGACATATATAACCCTCAGATGCTGGACTGGAGACTGGCAAGTGCACATTTCATCCTGGCTGTGACACTGACACTGTGGAACTCAGGAAAAGTCCTCTCAGTAGATGTAACAACAACAGAGGTAATGGAAACTAACTTAGAGAAATAAATATATATGTTTGATATGTCTTATAAATGATGTTTATATATAAAAGAATATATATAAATATATTTCATATACATAAATATAACTTATATATTTATATATCATATATTCTATATTTTATATAGAATATATATTTTATAAATATAATGTATATATTTATATATTGCATATATATTCTTTTGTAAACATGTCATTTCTACTAGAGTAAGAAGGAGGTGCAGCTACCAACAAGAAAATGTACACAAAATAAAATAGAGAAATAACACAAAATCAAGAAAATTAGTATTTCTTATTGTCTTCTTTTTATTGCCAACATGACATTCAAGGTTGTGAACTTGAAATGAAAAGAGCAGTAATCATGATCTTCTCCTCACAGAGGAGTCAGAGCAAGCCAGTTATCTAAATGTGAAAAGAAACTTAAGAACAAAGACTTGTATTCCTTGAACAAAAAAAGCTTTAAGAGAAAATCCATTATTACAGCCATATTTAATTAAATCAGTTATGTCAGAATGAAGGGCTTTTATGTAAAATTTGAAGTTGTTTGCATGCCAAAATTTGAGTAGTTTTGTTCAAACTTTTAATTACAGTACAAATGTTTTTGTAGTGCTATGACTAAAGTACAAAGAGAAAGAAATGTGGGGGCATCACAAGGAGAAAAATTAGTTTATTGGATCTTATTAGAAACATATATACATGTTTCTTAAATAACATCAAGTCAGAGTCTCAAATGCATTATATTGAAGGACAAGTTTTGTAAAAGTTTTGGTTTTTTTAAGATTAAGGATATTTCTTAAAAAAACAATTGTTGAGTGTGTGTTAGTTGGAAAAATAAAAGCATGTTTTTGGAGGATGCTTTGAAAGATAAAAAACCTTTGCCCTTTGAAGGTTTATTTCCTTCTTCAGGGTTTATTTTGGGTTATTTCTGCATCCTTCCCGTGTCCAGTTCTATGTTGTCAGGATTATACAGGGAAGTGATAGAAGCTAAGATCTCAGTAGTTTGAAACCATATTGTGGGCTTTGTGCTGTAAGTAATAAAGAACTGTGAGAGATTTGTAATTTTCTTTTTATATGACAAAAGTAGTATTGGGGATAACTAACTTTATAACAGTATTATGGGTGAAATAGAGAAGAGAGAGATAGGAGGTATCAAAGCAAATTGTAAGGTGATTAAGGGAGTACACTAAGCAGTAAGGAGGCCTTCATTTAAAGTCACCACTTGGATGACCTGAGGTCAAGAGTTGGAGAAAAGCCTGGCCAACATGGTGAAACCCTCTCTCTACTAAAAATCCATAAATTAGCTGGGCGTCATGGTGGGCACCTGTAGTCCCCGCTACTTGGGGGGCTGAGGCAGGAGAATCACTTGAACCTGGGAGGCAGATGTTGCAGTGAGCCAAGATTGTGCCAGCCTGTTAACAGAGCAAGATTCCATCTCAAAAACAAAAACAAAACAAAAACAACAACAACAAAAAACACCACTGATGGGAATCAAAAATAGCAGCCAGAAGATAGATTGTCCTGCAAGAACTGACCAGACTTAGGGCACATATGACTGGATAAGGAAACAGGAGGCTCAATAGCTTTCAGTTTACATGCCAGGCTACAGGTACTTTAAAAGAGACTTGAGTCAATGATTAAAGGGCTTGAAAATGCTACTCTTTTGTTCTACTGGAGAAAACGAAGAGAACAGAGAAATGTATTAGTCCATTTTCATACTGCTATAAAGAACTACTCAGTCAGGTGTGGTGGCTCATGGCTGTAATCCCAGCACTTTGGGAGGCTAAGGTGGGTGGATCACTTGAGGTCAGGAGTTCAAGATAAGCCTGTCCAACATGGTGAAACTCCATCTCTACCAAAAATGCAAAAATTAGCTGGGCATGGTAGTGACCACCCATAATCCCAGCTACTCAGGAGGCTGAGGCAGGAGAACCGCTTGAATCTGGGAGGCAGAGGTTGCAGTGAGCCAAGATCAAGTCACTGCACTGTAGTCTGGGCAACAGAATGAGACTTTGTCTCAAAACAACAACAACAATAAACTGCCCAAGACTGGGTAATTTATAAAGGAAAGAGGTTTAATTGACTTATAGTTCTGCATGGCTTGGGAGGCCTTGGGAAACTTACAATCATGGCAGAAGGTGAAGGGAAAGCAAAGCATATTCTTCACAAGGTGGCAGGAAGGAGACTGAATTACCAAACATTTATAAAACCACCAGATCTTGTGAGAACTCACTATCGTGAGAACAGCATGGGAGAAATCATCCCCATGATTTAATTACCTCCACCTGGTCTCTCCTTTGACATGTGGCGATTATGGGGATTACAATCCAAGGTGAGATTTTTGGTCAGGTCACAGCCAAACCACACCATTTTGCCACTTGCCCCTCCCAAATCTCAGATCCTCACATTTCAAAACACAATCATGCCTTCCCAACAGCCCTCCAAAGTCTTAACTTATTCTATCATTAACCCAAAAGTCAAGTCCAAAGTTTCATCTGAGACAAAGCAAGTCCTTTCCACCTATGAACCTGTAAAATCAATAGCAAGTTTGTTACTTCCTAGATACAATGGGGGTACAGGTATTGGGCAAAGGAACTCACTCCAAATGGGAGAAATTTCCCAAAACAAAGGGGGCACAGACCCCATGCAAATTAGAAATCCTATAGGGCAGTTATTAAACATTTGGAGATCATTCCAAACCATTTCCTTTGACTCCATGTCTCACATCCAGGTCATGCTGATGCAAGTGGTAGGTTCCCATGGTCTTGGACAGCTCTGCCCCTGAGGCTTTGCAGGGTACAGCCCCACTCTCAGCAGCTTTCATGGACTGGCATTGAGTGTCTATGGCTTTTCTAGATGCACAGTGCAAGCTCTCGGTGGATCTATCCAATCTGGGGCCTGGAGTACTGTGGCCCACTTCTCACAACTATACTAGCCAGTACCACAGTGGGGATTCTGTATCAGGGCTCCAAACCCACATTTCTCTTCTGCACTGCCCTAGCAGAGGTCCTCCATGAGGGCTCCACCCCTTTAGCAAATTTCTGCCTAGACATCCAGGTATTTCCATACATCCTCTGAAATCAAGGCAGAGGTTCCCCAAACTCAATTATTTACTTCAGTGTACCAGCATGCCCCAAAACATGTGTAAACCACCAAGACTTGGGGCTTGAACCCTCTGAAAGAACGACCTGCCTGTATGTTGGCCGCCCTTAGCCACAGATGGGATGCAAGGCACCAAGTCCCAAGATTGCAAGGCCCAGGGCCTGGCCTAATAAACCATTTTTCCCTCCTAGGCCTCTGGGCCTGTGATGGGAAGGGCTGCCGTGAAGCCATCTGACATGCCATGGAGACATTTTCTCCATTGTCTTGGTGATTAGCATTTGGCTCCTAGTTACTCAAGCAAATTTCTGCTGCTGGATTAAATTTCTCCTCCAAAAATGGATTTTTCATTTCTATTGCATCATCAGGCTGCAAATTTTCCAAACTTTTTGCTCTGCTTCCCTTTTAAACATAACTTCTAATTTCAAACCATCTCTTTGTAATTAGATATAACTGAATGCTTTTAAGAGCACCAGCTCATATTTTGAATGCTTTGCTGCTTAGAAATTTCTTCTGCCAGATACCCTAAACCATCTCTCTCAAGTTCAAAGTTCCACAGATCTCTAGGGCCAGGGCAAAATGCCACCAGTCACTTTGATAAAGCATAGCAAGAGTCACCTTTGCTCCAGTTCCCAACAAGTTCCTCATCTCCATCTAAGACCACCTCAGCCTGGACTTCATTGTCCATGAAACTATCAGCATTTTGGTAAAAACGATTCAACAAGTCTCTAGGAAGTTTCAAACTTTCCCACATCTTCCTGTCTTCTTCTGAGCCCTCCAAACTGTTCCAACCTCTGCCTATTTCCCATTTCCAAAGTTGCTTCCACATTTGTGGGTATCTTTATAGCAGCACCCCACTCTCTGTGGTAACAATTTTCTGTGTTAGTCCATTTTCATAGTGCTGTAAAGAACTGCCCAAGAGTGTGTTATTTATAAAGGAGAGAGGTTTAATTGACTTATGGTTCTGCATGGCTGGGGAAGCCTCAGGAAACACAATCATAGTGGAAAGTGAAGGGGAAGCAAGGCACCTTTTTCACAAGGCAGTGGAAAGAATGAATGCAGGAGGAACTACCAAACACATAAAACCAGCAGCTCTCAGGAGAACTCACTCACTATCACAAGAACCGCATGAGAGAAGCTGCCTCCATAATTCAATTACCTCTCCCTGATCTCTCTTTTCACATTTGGAGATTATGAGGATTACAATTCAAGATGATATTTTGGATGGGAACACAGTCAAACCATGTCAAAAGACAATAGAAAGAATAATTTTAGAAGAAAAACAGAAAGTGAAGAAAAATAAAAACCAAGGTCAATAGTCTGGCACATGGAAGAATCACTAGAAGTGGGAAGAGATTCCCCAGAGCTAAAAATTTTCCCACATGGGAATATTCTCACGATCTCAGAAAAAAAGCAGTATTTGTGGGACTACAGAATGACTCAAGATTGTTAGTAGGAGCATTTAAGAAATGCTGTCATTGGGCCTCAGAGAGGAAAAGACAGACCTCACAAACTGAACAGCTATAGATTTATGACTTGGATGAAGTGCAAAGTGGCAATAGGTGTAAGAAACAAACAAGAATTTTTACAGGGCACACAAAGTTATTGGGATATCTCAGACACATTGCAGACACAAATACTTGTTGATAAATCACAGGGATAGAGAAGGTGAGATGCTTAGACACAGAGACTAAATTTTTATTTTTGTATCCTTCATGTCCAATGCAGAACCTAGTACATAGTGGATTAGTAATGGCTTGAGTCAGTAAATAATGAATGAATGGTAAAAAGAAAATAGCATGAGATTTGGTTTGGAATTCATTTAATAAATATTCATCAGAAATTTGCTGAATACTAACTATGAGCAAAATATGAGATGAAGCATGAAATAAATCAAATGAAAGACTAATTAGACAAACTCATTGATTCAAGATCCAACCTAATAACAAATACAAATGTATTGTAACCAACCTGGCACAAGGCAAAAAATAATAAGTGCAATGATGAAAGAGGTATATAGCAAAGCACTATGGGAATGATGAGGAAGGATGAAGTTGTTGCTGGAAAAGAATCTGAAAAAGTGATCGGTAAATATGCTAAATGTTAAAGGCATTCCAGGAGTTTTTCTTTTCTTTTCTTGTCTTGTTTTTTTCCCTTGGTTATACCCCTCTTCTATGTGTTTCAGTCCCCAAAGATCTAGCACTCTCTATGGAAAATAACTTCATAAGAAATTGTAAGTCCAGGCACAGTGGCCCATGCCTGTAATCCCAGCACTTTGGGAGGCTGAGGCCAGTGGATCACCTGAGGTCAGGAGTTCGAAACCAGCCTGGCCAACATGGTGAAACCCCATCTCTACTAAAAATACAAAAAATTGGCCAGGCATGGTGGTGGGCACCTGTACTCCCAGCTCTCTGGGAAGCTGAAGCAGGAGAATCACTTGAACCCGGGAGGTGGATGTTGTAGTGAGCCAAGATCACGCCATTGCACCCCAATCTTGGCAATAAGTGCAAAACTTTGTCTGAAAAAAAATTATAAAATGTTACATGATGAGAATGTCAGCTAATGGTAGCAAAAGCCAAATGCATATGTACATACTTGAAGTCTCTTTGTCTAAATTAATGGAATCACCTTTCCTTGCCTTATAGGCCTTTGATTCTGGAGTCACAGATGTGCAGTCAACACCCACAGTCAGGGAAGAGAAATCAGCCACTGATCTGACAGCAAAGCTCTTGCTTCTTGATGAATTGGTGTCCCTAGAAAATGACGTGATTGAGACAAAGAAGAAAAGGAGTTTCTCTGGTTTTGGGTCTCCCCTTGACAGACTCTCAGCTGGCTCTGTAGATCACAAAGGTAAACAGAGGTAAGTGAACTCTTAGAAAAGGAAAGTTTTTATTTTCTAATTATTTTATTCTGGATTCTAAAACAGAGAATTCCACATGAAAAATACAGTGAAAACTTTGTACAGAAACAGATTTGACAGCATGTTAGCTAATCTATAGGTTTAATAATACAGTTTTCAAAATAACTGTTTAGGGAGCAAAATGACTGCCACGGTGTGCATTAGTATTTTTGTCATAACATTTCCTAAGTAAGATTCTGTCTTATGCAGATATAAAACAGTTATTATAAGACATTACTGCGTTTGGGAGGTGACGCAAAATATATGCTCAGCGGTATAAATGTCCTGGTGAATTGAGTTTTCCATTTACTAGAGGTAATTGGAATATCCTTTGGTTTTTACCATTGATACAAACCTTTCCAAATTGTGTGAATGAATCTGAGTGAAAAGCTCTCAGAACTTGGAGTCAGAACACATGTGTTTCTGTCAAATTTCTGTTTATTTCCATGTGACTTGTATAGTATCTTATCCTCTCTGATCCTCAGCTTATTTATCCACAGAGTGAGAACAATTACTTGCTTCCATAAAATTCAAATAAGATAATCAAATGTAAGTGCTTCATAGAATGCTAATTATTATAATAGATTTAGAGTAGTGAAATATCCCTTTAGGTCAGTAATTTAAAGTCATCATTTCAAACTTAGTTCATTTTCTTCAATATCTGTTCTTCATACTGTACATTTTATATTAGAAGTGGCACAAAAGACCACCTAAGTACCATAGACAGACACCTGGGAAATTGACCCAAGATTCCTTTTGTTCACCCTGAACATTTCTCACTAAACTCTCTAAATACTGTTTGCCTTATATATTAAAAAAGGAAATTGTTTATCACAGCACTATTCACAATAGCAAAGTCATGGAATCACCTAAGTGTCCAACAGTGGTGGACTGGATAACGAAAATGTGGTATGTAGACACCATGGACTACTATACAGTCGTAAAAAAGAAAAGAATAAAATTATGTTCTTTGCAGCTACATGGATGCAGCTGGATGCCATTATTCTAACTGAATTAATACAGAAACAGGAGATCAGACACTCGATATTCTCACTTCTAAGTGGAGAACTTCTAAGCTAAACAGTGGGTATCCATAGGCATAAAGATGAAAACAGTAGACCCTGGGGGCTCTAAAAGGTGGAAGGGAAGAGGGAGGAGTTGATAAACTACCTACCGAGTATTATGTTCACTATTTGGGTGATGGGTTCACTAAAAGCTCAAACCCCAGGATCGTCCAATATACCCATGTGGCAAACCTACACATGTAAACCCTGAATCTAAAATAAAATATTTTTAACAATACCTTGTAAAAGATAAAATTTATTTCAAATAAATAAATAAGAAAATTTTAGGAGCTTCAGTAGTGCAACTGATTAGTGTGCAGTACTTACAAAACAGGAAGCATTAGACTTATTTCATGTATGAATATCTACACAAAAGTCATAGATAAAATGTTAGCAAATAGAATCCAACAGCACTTTTAAAAATATATTACATTTTGACCAAGGGGGGCTTATTCCAGGAAAGTAAATATGAGTTAATATTAGTAATTATATAATGTAATCTTTCATATTAATAGAACAATAGATAAAAATCATATGATGATATCAATAGATGACAGAAGAGGTATTTGACAAAATCTAATATTTATTAATGTCTAAGGAAGCGCAATGGAATAAGAACTGAGAAACACTTTTTAAACATGATGTATATGTATGTGTGTGTTTGTATTTTAGCCCAAAAGCCAATATCTTATTTAATGGTTGAGGCATGTACTGTGTTCTTAAGTCAAAAAACTCAAAAGCAGAAACATGTCAGCTCCACTTAAGTTAAATTACAAAGTTAACACAATTCTAATAAAAAGTGCCATCAGTGTTGATGATAAAGTTCATTTAAAAGAATAAAAGCTAGCATAGCCAGAAAAACTCTGCAAAAGAGACAGAAAAAAAGAGCCCTACCAGATATCAGTAAGTAAAAGAATATAGTTTGAATAAGTGATGTTGGGATATGAGGAAAAAGATAAAATTAATTCATTCTCAAACTATACATTATGATAAATTCTAAATGCATCAGAGATTTAATTGAAGAAATAGATGAACCTATATAGGCACTAGAAGAAGACATTGTTGGAAGTTCTACATAGAGAAGGAATAGAGAAGGTCTTCTAAATTCAGATGTAAAATCTGAATAGAAAAAAATAAGGAAAAACTTAATTACATATTTTAAAGTTTTCATGACAAAAGATACCATAAAACAAAGTAAAAACACAAAGAATAAACTGGAAAAAATGTTTGTAACTTAAATCAAAGGGTTACTATATTTAACATATAAAGAACCTTGAAAAATAAAGAAGAAAAAGAACAAACTATAGAAAAATTGGGGTAAAAAACAGTAGTTAATTCATGAAAAAACGCAAATTGCCTTTAGCCATGTGAAAAGATGCACACCATTCTTGTTATAAGAAAAAAGTGTACTATGATTTTACTGATGTAAAATTCCTCACCTGATAGATTGGTAGAAACGGATTTTTGAAAAACCAAAATAATTACTGAGGCTATGAGAAAAAGGCACTCCCACATGGTGCTGGTTGGAGTGCAGGAACCCACGTGGAGGGGAATGTCGCAATATCCAGCAGAGTGTATGTGTGCTTACTTTTTGGCCCAGCCTTCCTCCTATTTCTAGATATCTCTCCCAAATATATACTAGTGAAAATGTGTTTAGAAGAAGAAAGCACGCATAAGGCTGTTCATTTCAGAACCATTTTTTATAAACTTTTTATTTAAAAAATAAAATTATAAGCAAAATACAGAAAAATATTGACACCTGTGATAACAAAGAAATGACTCTTAAGGGCAGTTTGTTGTCCTGGGGGAATAACTCTTTTTCAGAGGAGGCTTACTGGATCCTTTAAGTGAAAAGTGGTGTTGACAGACGGCCATCTGGGCATTAGGGTTGCTAATTTCTCTTGGATTAGTGATTGCTTTCAGGAATTTTAGAGCACAGACTGAGTCATGAGTGCATGCTGATATTAATCAGAAACATAAGTTTATACTAATATGAATGTTTTTTGGACATTTTGAAATCATGCCATATCAGGTGTTGTAGTATTATTTAACATGTTCAACTTATAACTTTCATTTTTTCCACGCCGTGAATCCCCTTTTTTATTTGCATCAAGAATGATAGAATTTGATTATCAAATAAATACATATTTGCTTTATTTCACAATACAAACTCAACCATCTCAGAATAGCAATACCAAGATTATCACCAGCAATACGATTTCCCAGAATAGTTTGTAGTTAATAATTTTACTGATGCTCAGATTGTCATAGTTTATAGCTAATCAGAACGTCCTCAAATTGGCTCTTGAGTTCTTTTGAACTGAAATTAGAAATAAGAAATTTCCTTGCTATCAGGTATGACAAGATATTCAAGCTCACTTTGTACATTTTCTTCCCCAACTCTGCGTGGGGAAACAAATTATGAGTTTTATAAAGAAATATTGTGCAAAGGAGGATTGTAATATTTAAGGTTCATTTACAATGGGCATTTGGCATTGACAGAACAAATATTTCTATGTATACATTCAACATTTTGCAGCATATTTACATTCAAGTTACATTTCCAAATTCTATGCCAAATACAGTCTAACTCACCATCACAAATCCCTCAGATATTACTAAAATCCTGTTTATTTGGTAGGAGTGCAGTCTTATCTTAGTAGAAAATAATTTTATGTTCTTACTAGATCAACTATTTTTACTACTTCAACGAAATTCACTGACATTTTCTTCCCAGTTGAATGCATTAAATCTGTTTAAATCTATGACTGAAAAATCTTTAGAAAATGCTAGTTATCAATTCATTGTTTTTGAAAACATATAAATGAAGAGAACATTAAACCTACCTTTCTTATATGACCTTCACCAATAATAGTAGAGGAGGTGGAATTTTCTCTTTATAGAATTTTTGCATCTAAAACAATCAAGAAATTGTGGAATTAGTAAACGAGGTAGAAATTTCTCTTTAAAAAATTATTTTGGCTAAAAAACGACAGAATTAGAAAATTTCTATTTTGCAAACCCTAATGAAATGATGGATCTAGACAATTATCATTAACTCCTGTTAGCATCAGAAGAAGAAAACAGCAAGTCATTATATGCCTCTTGATAATAGAACCCAGCACTACCTATAAAATAGTATTGCCAAAAGCAGTCTTGTCTCTAGGTCTACACGTATCAATTTTCAGGAAATGTGAAAGACAGAAGTGAGTTCAGAGACACTACCGGGATGCAAATAGCAAAATCCAGACTGTGGGAAACTGCAGGACAAATAATCCAGTTTCTTCCATAAATAAATTACAGCGTTTGAAGGGATTAAAAAAAGAGATGGAAAGGGAAGAGGATTCTAAAGTAGAGGGATTTATTAACCAGTTAAAATGTTTTACGTGTCCTGATTGAAACAATAATCCTTCAAAAAATTAATACACAAAACAGACAATTGTGAATGTGAACAGTAATTATTTGGTGATGCTAAATAACTATTATTTACTTTTAAATATGAAATGATATGGACCTTAAAAATGAGAGAGATACCTCAGTTAAATATTTAAATATGAAAGTATTTATCTGATTTTTAAAAAAATAATACAGGAGTGGGAGTGGAATGGTTGAAGTAAGATTTGCCATAAACTGTAATTATTGACTTAGAATGATGTACACATGGGAGTCTGTTATACTATTCTATTTTGTCATATGTCTGAACTATTTTATAGTAAATTCCTTTAAAAACTAAGCAATGAGATAAACAGCGATTAGACCTGGTAAAAGAGTAAATAAATTAATCACATAAGAAGGTCAAGAAAATGACTCAATATATCAAAAACATATGAAGAATAGAATAAAACAAATTAATGTGTAGTTTAGTAAGAACTTTATGGGAACAAAAAAGAGAAAAAT